ATAATACTGCCTCTGCATCTAATTCTCTTATGAATGTTATGGCCCTTTACGAATTATCTTTCTTTGGTTTTTCTCAAGGGTCAAATGTTCAAGGTCTCCAGACCACCGCCGCATTCGATCCAATTAAAGATGAGTTTGTAATAGACACACCTCATGATGGAGCCATCAAATGGTGGATTGGAAATGCTGCAGTTCATGGGAAGTTTGCTACAGTTTTCGCCAGGCTCATCCTTCCTACGCATGATTCCAAAGGAGTCTCGGATATGGGTGTTCACGCCTTCATCGTTCCTATAAGGGATATGAAAACCCACCAGACTCTCCCAGGTGTTGAGATCCAAGATTGTGGACATAAAGTGGGCCTTAATGGAGTAGATAACGGTGCCTTGAGGTTCCGTTCTGTGAGAATACCCCGCGACAATCTTCTCAATCGCTTTGGAGATGTGTCTCGAGATGGGAAGTATACAAGTAGCTTACCAACAATCAACAAAAGATTTGGTGCTACACTCGGTGAGCTTGTAGGTGGCCGAGTTGGCCTTGCCTATGCATCTGTTGGTGTCCTTAAAATTTCCGCCACTATTGCCATTCGTTATTCGCTATTAAGACAACAGTTCGGTCCTCCAAAGCAACCTGAGGTCAGTATTCTTGATTACCAGTCTCAACAACACAAGCTCATGCCGATGCTAGCCTCGACCTATGCATACCATTTTGCAACTGTGTACCTCGTGGAGAAATATTCAGAGATGAAGAAGACTCACGACGAGCAACTGGTTGCTGATGTCCATGCACTCTCTGCTGGGCTCAAATCTTATGTGACCTCTTACACCGCCAAGTCACTATCGGTCTGCAGAGAAGCCTGTGGAGGACATGGTTACGCAGCTGTTAACCGATTTGGAAGCTTGAGAAATGATCACGACATTTTCCAAACATTCGAAGGAGACAACACAGTGCTTCTGCAACAGGTCTTTCCTCTCACTCTGTTAAAAAACTCTCACTTTCTCTTCTGAATAATCCTGCTCATAGTTTTGGTTCTTCTTCTAGGTGGCAGCTGATTTATTGAAGCAATACAAAGAGAAGTTCCAAGGTGGAACATTGACAGTTACATGGAGCTACTTGAGAGAATCAATGAACACTTATTTGGCTCAGCCAAATCCCGTTACAGCGCGTTGGGAAGGAGAAGATCATCTCAGAGATCCTAATTTCCAACTAGACGCTTTCCGGGTGAGTTAGTAGTCTTTACTATATATAATAATCTCTCTCTGACTCTCGTTACCTTGATCCATCAATCACACTCGGTTGTGTTTAACATATGTCACTTACAGTATCGAACATCGCGTCTCCTACAAAGCGTTGCATTGAGATTGAAGAAACACACCAAGACTCTCGGTACTTTTGGTGCTTGGAACAGATGCTTGAATCATGTCTTGACACTTGCAGAATCTCACATCGAATCAGTCATTCTCGCCAAGTTCATCGACGCTGTTCAAAAGTAAGAAAAACACACAAAAAACAATCCTTCCTTTTACAAAACCAAGTTTTAAAATTTTTCACATTTAAAACCGTCTGTTTCTTCTCGCAGCTGTTCGGAGCCAAGTGCAAGGGCTGCTCTGAAGCTAGTATGTGATCTTTACGCATTGGACCGAATCTGGAAAGATATAGGAACGTACCGTAACGTGGATTATGTGGCGCCTAACAAAGCAAAGGTATTTGGTTGTTGTATATAATAATCCACGAAATGGAAATCAATGATTTAACTCGTTCCAAATGGTAACAAACTCTTGCTTTTTTTGTTTTTTGTTTGCAGGCGATTCATAAATTGACTGAGTATTTGAGTTTCCAAGTTAGGAATGTGGCGAAGGATCTAGTGGATGCGTTCGAGCTACCTGATCATGTTACTCGAGCACCAATTGCTATGCAATCTGATGCTTATGCACAGTATACTCAGGTCGTTGGATTTTAAAATCTGAAGACAAAGATATCAGATTGTAATCACAAGTGTAATCTTCTACTATGAATCTTTCGATACGAAACCAC